TCACTAGATGAACCCGCTAAGGAAAGGTCAGCCTTCCTCACCCAGGCAGGGGTGTATGAATTCAATGTACTCCCTTTCGGGTTGCGAAATGCACCCGCCACCTTCCAAAGACTTGTAGATGGTCTCCTAGCGGGATTGGGAGAATCTGCAGTTGCCTACCTCGATGATGTGGCCATTTTTTCTGATTCATGGACAGAACACCTGGAGCACATGGAAAAAGTCTTCGAGCACATCAAGCAGGCAGGACTAACTGTTAAGGCTAAAAAGTGTCAAATAGGCCAAAACAGAGTGACTTACCTGGGGCACCAGGTTGGTCGAGGAACTATAAATCCCCTACAGGCCAAAGTGGATGCTATCCAAAAGTGGCCGGTTCCAAAGTCTAAGAAACAGGTCCAATCCTTCTTAGGCTTGGCCGGATATTATAGGCGATTTGTACCATACTACAGCCAAATCGCCGCCCCGCTGACAGACCTAACCATAAAGAAACAGCCAAATGCAGTTCAGTGAACTGATGAGTGTCAAAAGGCCTTTAGCCAGCTTAAGGCAACACTCATGTCTGACCCTGTGCTAAGGGCCCCAGACTTTGACAAACCGTTCCTAGTAACCACAGATGCGTCCGAGCGAGGCATGGGAGCAGTTTTAATGCAGGAAGGACTGAATCAAGAATTCCATCCTGTCGTGTTTCTCAGCAAGAAACTGTCTGAGAGGGAAAGCCACTGGTCAATCAGCGAAAAGGAATGCTATGCCATTGTGTACGCGCTGGAAAAGCTACGCCCATATGTTTGGGGACGGCGTTTCCAACTACAAACAGACCATGCTGCGCTACAGTGACTTCATACCGCCAAGGGAAATAACAAAAAATTTCTTCGGTGGAGTTTAGCTCTCCAAGATTTTGATTTTGAAATACAACACATTTCGGGAGCTTCTAACAAAGTGGCTGATGCACTCTCCCGGGATAGTTTCCCAGAGTTAACTGGTTAACAATTGTTCTTGGAATGAAACATATTGTTAGTTTTTATATAATCAGTAGTATGTCTAAAGGTACATGTGTCTTATTAACTCTGTTTTCTCCTAGAGCTCCAGGAAAAAATCACAGCCAGTGTGGAACCGGCTGTCCAACACTATCTGTGATTTTGGGGGCGTGTCACCTGTGATTCAGTGACTCTCATCCTCTCTTTGCACTGTGTGTGCAGTGGGGTGGCTTGTTGTGGGTGGTGTCACAGGTTGGCCAGCCCTTTAAGGCAAGCCAAGCTAGGCCTGGCCTGTGAGCTTGCAGCTAGCCCCCGCAGGGGGTGATGGTGCAACTTAATGATACTTTGTGACCCCAGCTGGGCCATGGCCAGGAAAAGAGGATACAAGGGAGGGGAACTCAGTTAGGGGCAGACCCAGGAGAGAGGAGTGGGAGCCCTGGGGCCTGAAGTCCATGAGTTAGGAAGGTACCAGAGGGAGCTCTCTGCTGCCATCTGCTGGAGGGCAAAGGGACTGAGTGAGGCCATAACTTATTTACATACCAACTGTGGATGGTTTGGGGACATTGGGGTTAAATGTGGCTACGTTCTGTAGTTGGGCTGATACTCTGGAGAGTTCCCTGGTGGGAACCAGCTGGGCAAAGGCTGAACAGTGACTGGAATCAGGGTCTACGTTCACCTAAAGACTCTGGTGCAGGCTCCCTGTCCTAGCTGCTGAAATCATCGTAACAGTCCCCAAGTGGCTGAGTGGTGGCGACTTTAGGTTTAAGGTCCAATGGACGTGTCCCCACACAGGTTTAAACCCACTTCTGACATCATTATAGCAGGATGGGGGTAGAGCCCCAGGGACCCTGATTCTTCTGCAGCCACAAACTGTGAGTGAGGGGCTGGGAGGCAGAACAAACTGCATCAACTGCTCAGGGGCCAATTGGTGGGGGCAGTGACAGATGCGCCCTGAGACAGTAGATGGGGGAAGGTGTTGAACAGTAAAGGTTTCTCCCAGCTCACCCCGTCCTTCCTCCTTCCTCCGCCAACAAAGTTCTTCTGTTTAACCCTCTGTTGACTGTGCTTATGAGGAGTGCAGATTTGCCCAGCAGAGGTGCCAGAATATTCCCCAATTGCGGCTCCTCTGGGTCGGTGGGAACCAGTAGTTCAGGTCCTGGGTCAGGCCCTGGGTGGGGTACGACGTGATCAAGAGGCCATCCCGCTCCCTCCAGGCGTTTAACAAGTTGACATGATATATTTGCTTTTTCTTCTTTCGGTCAGGTTGGGACACTTTGTAGGTGATCGGCCTGACCTGACGAATAAACTAATAAGGCCCCTGACTCTTCCGACGGGAGTAGAAGCAATACCTCTCACCTGGCATGAAGGTTCTCCCTCGGGATCCCTTTTTATATGTCCTTTCTTGGGTTTGGGGGGCACGCTGTAGGTTTTCCCTTGCCAGCTCCCCCACCTGGATCAGTCACTCCTGGAGCTGCAGGACATGCTGGAGGAGGTTGTGCAAGGGGGATGGTGCCTGCTCCCAGTTCTCCCACATTAGATCTACAAGCCCCTTTGGCTGCCTGCCATACAGTAACTCAAAAGGGGAGAACTTAGTTGAGGCTTGGGGTACTTCCCGAAGGGCCAGTAAGGGCAGAGGGGAATAAACAGGTCCCACTGATGCATCTCTTTCAGGGAGAACTTCCGCAACATTTCCTTCAACATGCGGTTAAAGCGTTCCACTAGCCTGTCCATCTGGGGGTGGTAAATGGAGGCTTGCAATTTTTTTATCCCCAGGAGGTCACAAACTTGGCGTAGGAGTTTGGATGTAAAAGTAGTGCCTTGATCTGTCAGGATTTCCCAGGGAAGGCCTACCCGGGTGAAGATTTTCATGAGCTCAGTGGCAATTGTCTAGGCTGTGATGCTTCAAAGGGGGATGGCTTCTGGGAATCGAGTGGCATAGTCCAGGACCACTAGGATGTATTGGAACCCCACAACACTCTTGGGCAAGGATTCCAGGAGATCCATGGCTATCCTCTCGAAGGGGGTGCCTATGACAGGCAATGGAACGAGAGGGGCTTTTGGTACTTTGGGGTTGCTCATTGACACTCTGGGCAAGAATTGGATGTCAATGGCATCGTGGAATGACGGGTTGTGCTCTAGTTTCCTCATTCTGGGGTTCGTGGGAGATCCGGGAGAGGTGATCCTCTACCAATTCAAAATGGGGGTAGGTGGTGGCCTGAAGGGGAACTGTCAGGGTCCCATTAACCCTAGCTAATTGCTCATACGCCCCCCTAAGGGAGGGGTCCTCCCGTTGGTCATAACTAAAGTCTGTCCCCAACATTGGGGACTCTTCCTGATTGGATCCACTGGGTCTCCCTCCTTCTTCCAGGGAGTCCAAGTTAAGGCTTCCCGTGCCTTGGTCATCCCAGTTGGGGTCCCTCTGTGCTTGATCAGCTTCCCCTATGGGTTCACCTTTGAGCGCGGCTTCTACAGGTGAGGCTCTACCGACTATTGCTTGCAGGAGCCCCATGAAACCCTTCCAGTCTTGGCCCAAGAGGATTGGGTATGCCAATTTCAGGGCTAGCCCAACCATCAGGGTCTGGGTTTCCCCTTTCACAGTCAGGGTCACCTGGGCCTTGGGGAATGGTCGCACATCCCCGTGGATACACTGGAGGTGCATGACCCCGAGAGGCAGGGTAGGCAGTGGAATGAGACCCTGGTGGACAAGCGTCTGCCCACACCCCAAATCAATAAGTGCAGAGACGGGGCTCCATTCACCATCACGGGGATAGTCAGCTTATGCGTGTGCTGCTGCCGACCTCGGGCCTCTCCTGAGCAGACCTGCCTGAAACTGCAGTCTATCATCGGAGGGATAGCTCAGTGGTTTGAGCATTGGCCTGCTAAATCCAGGGTTGTGAGTTCAATCCTTGAGGGGGCCACTTAAGGATCTGGGGCAAAAATCAGTACTTGGTCCTGCTAGTGAAGGCAGGGGGCTGGACTCGATGACTTTTTGAGGTCCCTTCCAGTTCTAGGAGATAGGATATCAGGCACTCTTGCCAGAGGTATCCGAAGCGGCCATGGGTGAAACAGGGGCCAAGGTCAGGGTGTCAGGGCTGGTCCGACTAAGTAGGTGATGGGGCAGGCACCTCTGTGCCCTGGAGTTTCCCTTTAGTGGGGGCATCTATCGGTAGGCCCTGCTCTCTCTGGGGCCTTTGTTGGGCCTGGCCAACTTCCCGTCCTCTGAGGGTCTTAGGCCAGGTCGGGGATCGCTCCTCTGGCCCTAGGTCCTCTCTTCACAAGTATGGGCTGGCACGGCAGTGGGAGGATGGGACCCTGGTCCTACCAGGGTCTCTGCCACCAGAAAGTCCTCCATCAAAGCTACAGCCTAGCCCAGCGTAGTCGGCTGGTGGCGCATGACCCAAGTCCTTCCGCATCCTGGAAGGATATGCAAAAAATGTTCAAGCGCCACTTGTTCTGCTACCTCGGCCCCCATACACTGATCCGGTTGTAGTCACCACCAGCATGCCTCTCTCACCTGCTGGGCTACCACTCTGGGTCAGGCTCCCGGGGTGTATGTCTTCTCCCGTAGCCACCGCTGGAACATCTCGGGGGTGATCTGTAGGGCGTCGAGGATCGCGGCCTTCAGTCAGTCATAGTCATGGGCTTCAGCCACGGGAAGTGCCCTATTGCGGTCTGGGCCAGACCCATTAGATACAGCGCCAACAAAATGGCCCATTGGGCCGAGGGCCTCTTAGCTGTGGTGGCAACTCATTCGAACGTAATTTAAAAGGTCTCAGGGTCATCATCGGGCCCCATCTTGTTCAGGCATACGGGCACAACGGGATCAGGGGGTCCCATGACCCCACTGGGGTTGGGAGGCCCTGGGTTGGCCAAAGGGCCGCGAGCTGCTGCAGGCATTGCTGTTGTTGCGTTCGGTTTTGGGCCCCCAACTCTCAAATCAGCTGCTGCTGTTGACTGCTGAGTTGTTGCAGCAGCTGTTGTTGCTGCTGTTGGCTCTCGGCAAGCCATTTGATCAGCCATTCAACCTCCATCCTCTACATACCGGGAAAGGGTGGAGGGATCTATTGTACCTCGTAGTTAGCTCGTCCCCTTATCTCAGGGGAGGGGACGTTGCCCGCATTCTCCACCACGTCTAATGGCCCCTCGCTTGGAGGGAGGCCACTCAGTCCGGTCCTGTCTGGCCAGGACCAGAGTCTGCAGGACAGTCAAGAGCCCACAATAGGGTTGGGCGACCAATAGTCACAGTCAGGTTTTAGCCTGGGTTTGGGCGGCTCAAGCTGCCAGCCCTTAAACAGAGTCTATAACTGAGCTGGGGGCCTGGGCTTGAGGAGGCTCAGGCAGCCAGCAAATAAACAGTCTCAAGGCTGGCTTTGGCCTGGATGGGGCTCAGGCAGCCAGAAAACAAAACAATCTATAAGGAAGCTGATAAGGGAGGCTCCTTCTTCAGAGTGGGAGCTTTCCTGCACACTGTAGGGAGTTGGCCACCTGGGGGTGGGGTAGCAGGGGGACACGGGCCCACCTAACTCCACCGCGTCCCAGCCCAGGGCCCTGGCAGGGGCAGGCAGGGGATCCAGCCACAACACACTGACTGAGCCACACCTGGCTCTGCAGCCGGCTGCTCCGTGGCTGCCTCCCTGGGGGTCGGTACCTTCCGCCGGCAGCACGTGACAGGATGGCGCTTGAGGGGTCCTTCCTGGTGTCTTACCAGGGGGCCCACTACTGGGTCCACTATTCAACAGGGGAGACCCAGTGCTTCCTCTGCCGGGCGACAGGACACGTCCAAAGGGACTGCCCCCTGGCCTGGCATGGAGGGGTGCCCGGGACCCCCGAGACCTGGGAGGGCGCCGGCTCTGTCATCGCCGGTGACCCTGGTAGCTCGGCTACCGCTGCTGCCCCTCCTCCTCCTGCCATATCCCCCGCTTGTGCCGCGTGGACAACCCCCCCTGCTCTGCCCAGACGAGCAGGCAGGCCTTGCCTCAGTTAGCTGTAGTTCGGCAGGGCCCGTGGAGAAGAGGGAGCAAGACACTTGCTGTCCAAGGGAGAGGACCCGCCCTAGGGAGAGGTTTCCCTTCTCCCCACTGTCCCACACTTGCCGCCTCGAGCCCCGGAACCATCACCCTCGCCCCCTGCCCGTGCCCCTGATGACCGGCCCTCCACCTCCACCCCGGAGGGCTGGGTGCTCCTCCAGGGGAAGCGCAGCGCCCGCAAATCACGGGCTCGATCCCTCCCCTCTGACGAGGAGGGAGAGGAGGCTCCCTGAACAGGGGCGGCGCTATGTTTTTTGCTGCCCCAAGGACGGCAGTCAGGCGGCTTTCAGCGTGGCACCTGCGGGCAGTCCACTGGTCACGCGGATTCGGTGGCATGCCTGCAGGAGGTCCGCTGGTGCCGCATCATCGGCGTACCCGCCGCCCAATTGCCGCAGAAGCTGCGGGACCAGCGGACCTCCTGCAGGCGTGCCACTGAAAGCCATCTGACTGCCGCCCTTGCAGGGACCGGCAGGGCGCCCCCCCTCCCCCATGCCCCAGGCATGCACTTGCTGAGCTGGTGCCTGGAGCCCCTGCCCCTGAAAGATGCTGCGGGGAGCTGATGCTGCTACAACTTCCACTGCGCCCCCAGAAGGAACAGCCCCCCTCCCGAGGAGTCCTCTGTAGGAGTTCCCATGGCCCCTTTGCCACTTGTACCTTCCACCGATGCCGGGGCAGTTGTTGCCCCGGTTACCAGCGGGGGGAACCCCAGGGACGTGGAGACCATTTTACTTCCATCTTCAAGGAGATCGAGGCCCTAGGTCTGACTGTGATCACCCAGGGGGAGGACGACCCCCTGACAGTGGGCCTCGGTCTGGGCGGCGGCTTAGTCCCACCGCCCCCTCCTCCTCCCTGCCCCTCACCCCAAGCTGTCACCCCTGCTCTAGTCCTCGGGGCGCCCCTGGCCCTACCTGTTTGCCCGGCCATGGATAGCACCTCATCTGAGGCTGCCGAGACCCTTGGGGTGCCGGCCGATGCTGCGCGGCTAGGCCCCGAGCCTGTGGGCACACCTTCCACCACCTGGACAGAGCGGCTAGCCTCCCCTCCGGAGGGGGGCCCCACTGAAGACTCCACCAGGCCTGACGCCGTGGCTGCGGGTGACACGCTTGTCGCGATGCCTGTGCCCAGTGTCGGCGAAGGTTCCGCTCCCGCCTCCGTCCCCTCGGCTCCAAACCCCAATTGAGAGGAGCCGCACCCCGACAGCTCGGCTGCTGTGGATCGAGAACCCATCTCTGTCCCCACTCCCGTCCGTATTCCTGCTCCTGCTCCCGCCCCTGCTCCTGCCCCAGCCTTAGCCTCAGGCCCCGCTCCTGCTCCCACTTTAGTCCCTGCCTCTGATCCCGCTCCTGGCACCACTCCTGCCCCCAATGCATCACCTGCCCCTCTCCCCTCCACTTCCCATGCTGCTGCCACCCCCAAGGTTGTCTCGTTTCTGCTGCTCACATACAACCCTCAGGGGACAGTTTTCATGTCTCCCCTTCCCAACACTGTGGGGGCTGCTCTATTCCCTCCGCCGACCCCTCCCTTGCTGGGGATCGGGATGGGGACAGGTTGCCCGGCGTAGCCATGCCGGGCCTCAGCCCCTTGTTTGCCTGTCTCCGCAGGCCGTGAGGATCTCTCGGGGGCCCCACCGGAGGATGAAAGCGGGTTGGCAGCCGCATCCCCCTCTGCACGGAGGGACGAGCTGCGCCGCTTCCTAACAGACAC